CATGCATTTGTCTGATCCGACGTCCTGTCCTTCCTTCCTTCCTTCCTTCCTTCCTTCCTTCCTTCCTTCCTTCCTTCCTTCAGGCCTAGTTTCATAGCCCAGCACCTTCAAGATACTAAATAGTGTACAGGTTCAAGGCAAATTCTGTTGCAGGGTTTTGAATGTTTGGTTAAATTTCTCTAGCGGCGTAGCAGAATGGCAGGGATTCACACAGGAGAACAGCTTTAAGTTTCTCAGAGTAAACCTCCCCTTTTCTCATCAACTGGCACTTACAGTCTCAGTAACTACTCTGAGACATGAGCGGTAGAAAGAATAAAAACGTTCATTACTTACAATTGAACAGACCAAACAGCAAACTGACAAACCTGACTGCTTTCAACAACAGAACTGCAACAGACTCACTGCTTCCATCTAACTCTTGAGAGGGAAGAAGACACTGAACAGAGAGGTGGGACTCTCTTTGAATTCAGAGGAAGGATTGGTTACTGATGGATAGATGGATAGTCACCTAGCCCAGAAAGGTCCCTCCTATTCAAACCTCCTAAAGCCAGAATGTGAGGTTACAATAATCTCCGACAAATTCCAAATCTTGAATCCGATTGCAACTTCAATTCCATGTGTTAATGGTAGAGTAACTATTATAACCCAGCCTTCTTGGCTCAAACATGAAAAGAAAGAGTCTGGTGGCACCTGAAACACGTTAACAAGGCATGTGCCTATGCATATGTATACTCCTGGGTTTATTTGGATACTTGTTAAATCTTTAAGGGGACATGAGACTTTTTTCCCCTTGTTTTTGCTGCCACCGATTGTGAGGGCAAAGCTCCAAATAGTTTTGGCTCAGCTGTGCCTCTCATAATGCTGCTCAGGTGGGAACAGAGACCCGTCGGCTTTACGATCCATGCCCGATGGTTGTTCAACAACTGCGTAGAGCATGGTTTGGAAGTCTCTATAACCGTGACGTTCCTCCCAGAGGTCTGGGTGCATGATGTGTGAAACCTGGTCTACTGAGAGTTGTTAAATTTAGGCCTCCTTCAGTCTTGAGAGACGATGGTATCGTGGTCTGTATCGAGGACTTGGAACAGCGCCTAGGGTGGCTGAGAAGGCCAATTCGAGAGTGACAATGATCCCTTCCACCCTGAAGACAAACACAATCTGTCCCCTGTCCAGCTCCCTGATTTGGCTGGTTTCGGGACTGCCTTTCTGCTTCGCCCTGCTGGACAAGGGTCTTTTCAAATTGGGAGAGGCCGTGATGCACCGCCTGCCTCCAGGCTGAACGCTCAAATGTCAGAGTTTCCCATCTATTGAGGTCCATTCCCAAGGTCTTCAGATCCCGCTTGCAGATGTCCTTGTAACGCAGCTGTGGTCTCCCTCTGGGGCGATTTCCCTGCACTCATTCTCCATCCAGGAGATCTTTTGGAATCTGACCGTCAGCTGTTCTCATGACGTGCCTGAGCCAATGTAGACGTGAGAGTCGTACACCTTTTCAAATACGTGGATCGAGAGTTTCCTGTCCCTGCTCAGGGAAAGCATTAGCTGGTGCTCCCTTCAGCTCTGGGGATGCTCAAATACCAGGGAGGGAAAGTCACTGGAAGGAGCGCCCGCTGTACTTCTTTGATGGGTGAGCTGGCCAAGGCATGGATTTCCGTTTGGACGCCCTCCTCGGGCCCCAATAAACCTGCAGCGCACTTGCCAGCATGTAAGTGACACGAAACGTCAGGGGACGGATCAGACAGGAGCCAGAAGAGAAGGCAGACCCTGGATGAAAGAGGGGAGCCCCACAGACGGCCACCTCCACCGGCCGGAGGGCTTGTTTCCGCGTGACGCGTGCCCTCTTGTCTCACTCACTTCAGTCGCTCCTGGAACAAAGGAGCGGATTTCCACATCCTGGAAATGGAAACAGGGTCCTGTTGCATATAGTCCTCGAGGTGCAGGTCTGAGTCCAGCTGCGGGGAGCTCCCGGGCCAGGGAAAGCAGGGGAGCAACCCATTCAGGGCGAAGCGCACAGCCGGTCAAAACATGGCCAGGTGGTCCATCGGTCAGGGGACTGGGAAAATCCAGGGTTTGACGTCTAAGCAACGGGTAGGGCGCGTTGTACTGTGTCACACACTGGGTTTTGTGAGCTGACGAATGGGCTTGTAACACATCTCTGCACCGCCTCCTCCTCACAAGGTGCCTATGAGCTCAGAGAGAAGCTGGGCAGCCACACAGAAGGGTCATGTTCTGGTGGAACAAGCCGAACCCTGGACTGGAGAGCGGCCGGATCCACGCTACGGGACCGGCAAGGGCTCGGCACCTTTGCAAATTCCTCGCTCGGTCTCTGAGCCGTTCAAGAGATCAGATCGTAGAGTGAGAGAATCCAAGAATCAGGGAGTAGGAAGGGGCCTCTAAGGCCATCCAGTCCAGCCCCTTCCTCAGTGCAGGAGTCCAAATCAAAGCAGATCTGACAGCGCTAAAGGGAAGCTGGCAGACTGAGCCACGCTGACAGAGGACAAAGGGTGGCCCAAAGATTTGAGCGTTCGGCCTCACGCCATGGCCGGCAAGAATACAGTCATGCAAAATGCTTGATTTGGTTTTGTTTTCGTGGTGGGTGAAAAACCAGCCTGTTGATCGATCAAAGACTATTTGTACACGAATCACCTGACTTTTAACGGGCGTTTTATGAAAACCTCAACAGAAGCGCCTTTCTGAGACGCTGCAGGGAAATGGGAAACGATAGCTTGCCATGCCATAAACAGAAGCTCCCGCTCGTTGTTTAGAGGAGGAAAAGCCATTATTAATAATTATATAACAAAATATAATTTTTGTTATATTTTATATGTGGTTATATATGTTGGTAGACGCCTAGAGTGGTCCTTTGACTAGATAGGCGGGGTATAAATGCAATAAATAAATAAATAAATAAATAAATAAATAAATAAATAAATAAATAAATAAATAAATAAATAAATAAATAAATAAATAAATAAATAAATAT